GTCTGTTATCTTTAGGAGTGAGAAGGTTCATGGCCACCACCGCAGCGGTCATATCATTCTTCATCACGGAATCCCCAACGGTAAGAGGACCAGTAGGGGAGACGAAGGATGGGCGTCATATGTTGTCTGGAGAAGGCGTGGCTGCCTCTTCAACAAGGTTCAAGTCAAAACGACGGTCGGAGGGGCCAGACATTTTCAAAGGTGTTGAAGAGAGAAGAGGTCGGACAAATCAAGATCTTAGAAGTGCAAGAATGGAGCTTCTACTGGTGGAGATTCAAGTGTGCTTTGGAACTTAATGCCAGCCTCTATAAAAATCTGCACTCGACGGAGCTTCAAAAATCGAAGAGGCGCCTGCTCAGAAATCGAAGAGGCGTTTGCTTTCTCAAAAGTTGGGCTGCTCAGAGACCACGAGGGTCGATCTCAGAAATCGAAGAGGCGTTTGCTTTCTCAAAAGCTGGGCTGCTCAAAGACCACGAAGGCTGATCTCAGAAATCGAAGAGGCGCTTGTTTTCTCAAAAGCTGGGCTGCTCAGAGACCACGAGGGCGGATCTCAGAAATCAAAGAGGCATCTACTTTTCCAGCCTTGTCAGCACCTGTCACACGCACACTCAGCTTTGCGAAAATTATGGGCATTCTGTCGAAGATTTCTGGTGAAGTAGAAAGCACATGAATCTTACTGTTCAATCACCCACTTCCTACACGCAACATTAGCTCATGGGTACCAAAGATAACTTTGCCAAAGTTCTCTGACAAAGTTGAGACATGTGAAGCTTGCAGCTCCCACTACATCGCTCTGACCAAGAAGGGTAAAAGAGTAGCAAAGAAACAGCACTAACAAAGTTTAGACACATAAATTTTGAAGGTCTAGCTACCATATTATTACCCACAAGGGTAAAGGAACAGTACCACTGCTGGATAATTGGAAAGTCCCTGTGTGTCAACCTCTGTGCTTCGTGGCAAGGTAGACTAGCAAACATGCCCAACCTTTACTCACATTCAAGAAAACACTCCCAACAAGGTTGCTTGCTCCAAAATCGAAGAGGCACCGCCCTCCGAATCTCGAGAGCCAGACTCCCAACATGATTACTTTCTCAAAAATCGAAGAGACACCGCTCTCTGAATCTCGAGAGCCAGAGCCCCAGCAGGATTGCTTTCTCAAAAATCGAAGAGGCATCGTTATCCGAATCTCGAGAGCCAGATCCCCGACAGGATTGCTTGTTCGAAAACCGAAGAGGCACCATTTTCCCAACTTCAAGAGCCGGATCTCCTTGGATAAAGCTTGTCTGTAATCTTCACACGCAACATCAGCTTTCCAGATACCAAACTACTTTTTCAAAGTGCTCTGACAGAGTTAAAACATGTGAAGCTGGCAGCTCCCACTACCGTGCTATGACCAAGCAGGGTAAAGGAATAGCATTACTACTTGTTGTTAGGGAGACTCCTATATATGTCGACCTCCATCCCCAACGGACAGGCAGACCTGCAAAAATGCTCAACTCTTCCTCATATCTGAGAGGGCACTCCCAACGAAGCCTTTCGAAATATTCAGCTTTCTTTCCCCCCGACAATACCTCTGCAAACAAGCTATACTAGAGCAAGAATATCTCATATCATTAGGGTTAAAAGCAAGAGTATTCCATATCATGCTTTTTCCCTGCTTTTTCCTTTGGCCTTGTTCTTACCTGCAAGATAAGGAGAAAGAGAGCAATCAGTCAACACTTGAAATCAAGCTTCTAGTCAGGAACTGACTGCCTGGAACCCCTTACCTGATTACTTACCTGACATTGCTCTCGAGTACTCATCTTCAACATCTTATGCTTCCAGGGAAGATACCGCATCTGCCTGAGGAACAGATAGGGCAAGTGAGAAGGATACAAGGATGCATGTGGAGATAAGCGTAACAGCACACGTGCCGATACATCCACTACTCTGTCAAAAGAAAAAGTATCCCATATCAGCAGGGTCGAACGTACTCTAGATTTGATGGACTTGTTTTGACCGTCAAATTCTTCAATCGGCCTTATAATCTGAAGGAAACCAGAAAACCCTCCAGCCCAGTTCAAGAATAAGCCTGTGGAAAGTTACTTCTTCAAAAGCAAAAGTATCCCATATTATCTCTTCTCATTTTTCTTCTCTTTATCCTTCATGCTGCTTGCAAGACAGAGAGAATGTGAATAATCAGCCGGAACTCGAAATCAAAGTTCTGATCTGGGACTGATTGCTTGGAGCTCTGATTGCTTACCTTGTCTGTCACCTCTTTCAGCAGATCCCCTAGCTCGGCGACTTGGGGGACTCCTACTACATGGTTTGTATCGCGCTTGACCAAGTCTGAAACTACAAGTAAGCTTCAAGTGAAATTGATACATTACCTTGTGCATCTCCACCAGTTAAAGATACCACCCCTGGATGGAGGAAGAGTACTTCCAGAGAAGATGCCACATCTACCTATGAGACAGATAAGGCAAGTCAAGACAATACCACACTCCGGTACTTAGAAGTTTCGTGATTACGAGATCATTCTCCCATAATATTTCCTAATGTCATTTGTACTAAATCATTCACTTGTACTCACTAAAGGAGAGCTTGAACCTATGTACTTGTGTAAACCCTTCACAATTAATGAGAACTCCTCTATTTCGTGGACGTAGCCAATCTGGGTGAACCACGTACATCTTGTGTTTGCTTTCCTCTCTCTATCCATTTATATACTTATCCACACTAATGACCGGAGCAATCTAGCGAAGATCACAAAAAGCGACCGTTTTCGCTACCTAGGATCTATCTTGCAAGAGAACGGAGAATTAGATGGAGATCTCAACCATAGAATACAAGCTGGATGGATGAAGTGTAAGAGTGCATCCGGCGTGTTGTGTGACCGTTGTAGGCCACTGAAGCTCAAAGGAAAATTTTATAGGACGGCAATAAGGCCAGCGATGTTGTATGACACAGAATGTTGGGCGGTGAAGCATCAACAAGTACACAAAATGGGTGTAGCGGAGATGAGGATGCTTCGTGGGATGTGTGGGCACACGAGAAAGGATAAGATTGGGAGTAAGGATATCCGAGGTAAAGTAGGAGTAGCCGAAATTGAAGGAAAGATGAGAGAAAATCGGTTACGGTGGTTTGGACATGTGCAAAGAAGGCCTACTGACGCTCCGGTTCGAAGATGTGACTACGGGACAGAGGTTCAGGGTCGAAGGGGTAGAGGAAGACCTAGGAAAACTTTGGAAGAGACCCTAAGAAAAGACTTAGAGTACTCGAATCTAACGGAGGACATGACACAAAACCGAGCGCAATAGCGTTCTAGGATTCATATAGCCGACCCCACTTAGTGGGAAAAGGCTTTGTTGTTGTTATTGTTGTTGTTGTAGCCTTTTTTTAAATCACCTCAATTCCAAATCATACCTGAGTCGAGTGATGGATGGTAAATGAGAGGTGGGAGTGAGTGAGTGAGTGAGTCAGAGAGTCTGTGAGTGAAACAGTGGTGAAAGTGTGAGACTAGGGTATAAACTAACTGTTCAGATTGAATGATAAGTTATCATTCAATCTCGACCGTTGATTATAATTAGAAACGGCTCGGTCCGGAGTACCGTTTTTCTAGGGTTTAGGAACCGGCCCACCCCGTTTATTTTCTAAAACATTTAGAATCGGCCCGTACCCGCCCCAAACCTACATTACCCGTCCCGACCCGCGGTTTCTATACCCGTTTGCTCACCCCTAATTGAAATGTTGTGGACTGATGAAAGATTCAGACTAAACAAAAGCTTGACAATGGTGGACTGCTCTGATCAGTGGGAGCTTGGAAACAAACTTTAAATTTTTTTCGGTATTTGCATCACGCATAAGTTATTTTGGGAAATGTGGTCTTAGGGTGCTTGTATTGATGTACAAGATTTTCTAAGGTTTATTTCTTTGAAATAGTTTATGGCAGATATGCAAAGGGATTAATGGTTATGTTGTCCAAAAGTGATCACTAAGGGATTAATTTGATTCAATATGTTGATGAAGGATATGATCAATGATAATTCAAGTGGGATAATGTTAGGACTCTATTGATATGTCCCTGAGCATAACAAGGATGATCAAGCGTGGAATAAATTAATTAATGACAAAACTATTTGGAGTATAAAATCCCTTGTTTGTTGGACACTAAATGTACGTGCATCAATTGTGGTTTAACAAATAACAAGCGTGGAGGTTTTAAGCCCAAATTTGTATAAAGAAAACACAAAAACATAATAATATGCCAAATTTGGGTGGGAAAACAACTGTTTTATTTCAGTGGCTGGAAAATATGCTTAACGAAATAAACGAAGAAAAGTGAAACAAAAACAGAGGGATGGCTGATCTGTGTTGGCGCGACCAGCATCCTTTTGGGGTCCTTGACCAGTGCCTTAGTTTGTGCCGTCCATCAAATTACAAAAGGGTCAAGAACATTAAGAGGGAGGAAATGGTGAATGCTGCTAGTTCTGGATTTTATTTATCCGACAAGGTAATATTCATCTGATAAATTTGACCTATATCATATTATCCCAAATAAATAATTATACTTCAATATACAATTAACTATCATCATTCTTTAGAATACTAGAAGCAAACCAAACGTTAAGGTTGGGATTATATAATTCATTATACTGTGCTTAACCTTGGCAGTAACCATATTTTTTTTATAAGAGTGTAGAGACTGTTGGTCCAAATATTAGTTTTGTAGTGGATACAACCAATATTATAATGTCCTATATTACTATAATTTATGGGGACGGGAATTCTAACTTGAGTGAAAGGAGACGGATATGCTACGTTGGGCAACACGGGTAATCCGCAATCTTGGTCCAAGTACCACTTTGATTGACCAGAAAAAAAGACATGCGTACAACTCCAACTGCTGAACTTTGTAATAAGCAATAACAACAAAAGAAAAGTAATCAAAGAATGAAAGGAAATTATCATGTTGTTAGCTGTTGCTATAAATATGCTTAAGTGAGTATCCAGTTCTCACAGCATAAACTCCCATAGATCCCATGTTGTTTATAGACTGCAGGAAAATGAATTCCTTCTACAAGTTCTTTTGCTTGTTCTTGTTGATCCTGAAATACCACCATCTTTGTGCCGCTGATCCTACTGATGGATTCACCCCTGTACCATTGACAGAAGACAACTTTGTGTTACAAAAACCATATAATGAACCCCTCGATGATCGTTACAGTTACAAGGATGGAGTTCGAAGTTTTTGGATATACAACCATGACAAGCCCTTCAAAGCGGACAGCACAACTAGGCCGCGGTCAGAGCTGCGCATTTCGGTATAAATATCTTTCCCTCTATCTACCATATTTTCACAGTGCTACCTACATCACTAAAATTCTAACTACTTGTTGAACTTGGGGGTTTTGTTTTAGGGGCATGACTATTCTTCTGGAATTTGGCAATTTGAAGGCTATACATATGTGCCAAGTGGTACTTCTGGGGTTACAATAGTGCAGATCCACGGTGCAGCTGAGGGAGCGACATCTCTACAGCTAAGGATGTATGACGGAGATATCAAATACTACAAATACAACGTCGTAGCTACTGATCTTTACGACAAGTGGTTCCGCGTAAACATAATCCACAACGTTGACAAAGGGAAGATTATAGTTTTCATTGATGCTGTCAAGAAGTTTGTGGTGAAAGATCAAGGACCAGGGGATCTGTATTTCAAATGTGGAGTATATGCTGCACCAGAGAATTCGAGTAACTTCATGGAATCAAGGTGGAAAGAGATCAAACTTTACAAAAAATGACGGGATTAGTAGAATATTTGTATTAAGTAGCTAAGTGTGTTGTTACTGAATATCTACCGGTCTATATATATTGGAGTACAAAGATATGGTTTTACTAGAACTCGTATGTATAACTCTTTTGCCCCCTTCTATTTCGGTTAAGTAAGACTACCAGTGCAAATCATACAGGATTTAGAACTTTCATAATCCAGCAAACATAAAATCCAATTGATCAACCTGCCTAAGCAAGATACCCAAAATGCTGAAATTCTATGGCAACCAGGACTGCTAAATAAACTATCTCAAGATTCTGCAGAATTGTTGGACTCCTGTTTAAACCATTGGATCCAAAATAATGTAATGAACCATCTCAGATCAAAGCAGAGTTCAAAAACAAGCAAAATAAGTTTGTATTTCTTTGTATCTAATGACATTTTTTTTTCAATCTCGTACAGGATTTTTCAAATTCGTAAATAGGTTTTATTTTATAGTTTTTGTGACGAATATACAAAAGGCTCAAGAAATAGAATCAAGAAAGGTCTCAAGAACCACACAGATGAAGTACATACATACAAACTTACATACATATAAGGTAATAATTGGCATGCCATCTTAAGGAATCTGGTAGTCGTCGAGATGTAAAAATAAGTGTCACCTAATAACAAAGTAAGCCGAAACTTGGCCCTACCCCATGTCCCTAAGATAAGAGTGTGCTTGCAAACCAAGATCGGGTACAGCATCAAAATGACAAAACTACCATCATTTGACTTCAGTATATCTTATGCGGAACCAGGTACTTATATTTCTCAGGTCAACGAACATGGATACAATCATACAATGCAAACTGAAGCAAATGGTGAAAAGATAGATATAAATAATTGAGTTGGTTCGGCACGGTTATATTCTCGCTTTGTCAGTTTTACTAACTGAAACGAAATTTGATTTATTGTACTACACTACCACAAGCTGTGAGAACCCTACATTGGCTTGTAAACAATTTATCAATCAAACGCACACAGTGAAGCCATGAATCAAATGAATGAAGGGCTAAATTAAATTAATATGATAATATAAAAAAATTAAAACATATCTGTACAACAGCACAAGACACAGCAAGAATCCTATACACCACAAGGCAGGCTGCACCACTTCTCAAGTTGAAGAAATAATCACACCACCATAGGGCTTGGATGCTCATCTTCCTCTGAAGATGCAGGTTGCGATGGTAACTCAGGAGCTAACTGCCGGTGAAATGCATTAACTGCAGCTGCAACACCGTCTTCATTCTCTATCAACTTTGCCATTTCTAGTACTCGAGATTTAACCTAAGATGGTTCAATTCCTGGTTAGAACGAATGCTTGTTGTGCTATGTTGCTGCACTACTTTTGCAGTAACCACATCACTGGTAGCATAAAGACGAAAGCTTAACCATTTCTTGGGAAATTGGATAAAAAGGAAAATCTATGTGAAGGAAGAATAAAATATTGCAATCGTTTACCAAAAACATAAAAACATGAAACTTTAACCATATCATATTTTTTTTCACTTTTCTGACTTGTTAGCTAATGCATTGTTAGCTCATTCATTAACGGGACAAAACAACTATGATTTAACTCAAGCCTAAAATTGTTTTCTTAATTTATTTTCCAACCAGCTGTTTTTCATAAACCAACCAAAGCTTAATCAATTAGTTCAAAACCATTGTATGATTGATTTCAATTGGCAATCAATTTACATATGTTCTACAGGAATCGTCATGGGAGATACCAAAGAAAGATTAGATCGGGCCATTGGTAATCAAGCTTGGAGGGCTCTTTGCCTTAAGAGTGACCATATTCCAGGTTCGAACTTGAAGCCTTGTAGGTTGGAATAAATGTGGTTAAAACATGAAATTTTCTTAACGTTTGCGCAAGATAATTGACAGTCAGTCGATGGTTTTGTGTTACATAAACTTGATCAATTAAAAAGTCTTGACCTCGAATAGAGAGGGTTTAGGTCCTCTTTTCCACAAGACAAAGAAGCTCATTGTAAGATTGGATGGTATGCAGTTTATGCTATGCATGCAGTGAAATTACCAGTTACCGTTTGTGATCAACTTGACAGCTTAATGTTAACTTGGTTAAATGGAGCCAAGTTTGCCTTCAGAAGTCTCTTGTGTTGGATAGTGGCCAAATTAGTGGCCAACTTGCAAACAACTTTCGGTTAATAAAATAAACAAAAATGGTGGACAAAATCATGTGTCTTTGGTGAAAAGCAAATGATTATGTTTGTTGAGGAATGATTATTCCTTTTGATTTGGCCTTCTTTCAAAGGCAGATAATAAGGGTGCTTCGGTGAGTACACCAATTGGTTTTGTTAAGGTAGCCCATTTTGAGAGAAAATATAGAGCATTTTCTGATTGCAGTTACAGAGAGCAGCAGAGTATCAGGGTAGAGAAGAAGGGGTGCAACATCCCCATTGGAAGAGGGCTCCTCTCTTTGCTTAGTAATCATCCACCAAAGTACTTGTTGTTGTAATAGCTTTGAGTTTTGTATAGAGAGGAAACTATTCATTATATTTCTCTCTATTTGTTTCTTTAGTGTGTGAGAGCTATTGGTTGTATTGGGGTTTTTGGGTTGTGAGCTTGCCAACACTTTGTAAACTCCCATTTGATGATAGTGGATTATTGGGTGAGCTCCTAATGCTCCGAGGACGTACTCCAGTTACACTGACTGTTGAGGAACCTCGTTACAATCTTGGTGTCTTTAATATTGTTCTTACATTCAATTTGATATATTTTTCAGTGCAAATGGAGGCCAAAACGAGTTAGGGGTGAGGATCGGAGATCAAGAAATACCAAGGAGCGATCGTTTTCGTTACCTATGATCTATCTTGCAAAAGAACGAAGAATTAGATGGAGATCTCAACCATAGAATACAAGCTGGATGGATGTGGAAGAGTGCATCCGGCGTGTTGTGTGACCGCCGTATGCCACTGAAGCTCAAGGGAAAATTTTATAGGACGGCAATAACGCCGACGATGCTGTATGGCACAGAATGTTGGGCGGTGAAGCATCAACACGTACACAAAATGGGTGTAGCAGAGATGAGGATGCTTCGCTGGATGTGTGGGCACACGAGAAAGGATAAGATTAGGAATGAGGATATCCAGGGTAAAGTAGGAGTAGCCGAAATTGAAGGAAATATGAGAGAAAATCGGTTACGGTGGTTTGGACATGTGCAAAGAAGGCCTACTGACGCTCCGATTAAAAGATGCGACTATGGGACAGAGGTTCAGGGCCGAAGGGGTAGAGGAAGACCTAGGAAAACTTTGGAAGAGACTCTAAGAAAAGACTTAGAGTACTTGGATCTAACGGAGGACATGACACAGGACCGAGCACAATGGCGTTCTAAGATTCATATAGCCGACCCCACTCAGTGACTTAGATTTTCCAAGTCTCCAACCGAGAAGTTTTCCTCACTCGGGAAATTAAGGGAACACTACCTCAACCTACATCCTCCACTCACAAAGCTTCAACATACAAGCTTCAACAAAAGAAAAATTCAAAGAACTTAGCGAAGAAGGCTTCGGTGTATTTAACACAATACGTTGAAATGAAGCAAAGCTTATTTATTGATATCGCCGATAAGTTACAAATATGTACATATACATGAGTCAAAATAAACAAACAACAGGGAGCCTTCACAAAGGTTGCTTAGGAGAAGTCTCAGCAGTCGGTAGAGCCCCAGAAAGAGAATGCACCGGAGAAGGATCATTCGGAGCCTCAGTACTGAACAGAACCCTAGAAGGAGGAGGCATCCGAGGTTGATCATTTGGAGCTTCATTACGCGGTACAACCCCAAAAGACGAAGGCAATAAATGCCTTTGGAACAAACCCACAAACCTCTGATGATCAAGTAAAACCTGACCATCAGATTCCTTCATCTGGTCAAGCTTCCTCTTCATGTTTGTAGCATAGTCATGTGCGAGTCGGTGCAACTGTTTATTCTCATGCTTGAGCGCTCTAATCTCCTGTTTGAGACTCATCACTTCAGCCGCTAATGATTCAACTTGGCGGGTTCGAGCAAATAGGCGTTGGGCCATATTAGACACAGAACCTGCACACTGAACAGTGGGAGCCAGAGAATCCTTAACAGCCAACTCATCAGACCATTTGGAAAGTAGTCTGTTATCTTTGGGAGTGAGAAGGTTCCTGGCCACCACCGCAATGGTCATATCATTCTTCATCACGAAATCATCAACGGTAAGAGGACCAGTAGGGGAGACGAAGGATGGGCGCCATATGTTGTCTGGAGAAGCCGTGGATGTCTCTTCAACAAGGTTCAAGTCAAAACGACGGTCGGAGGGGCCAGACATTTTCAAAGGTGTTGAAGAGAGAAGAGGTCGGACAAATCAAGATCTTAGAAGTGCAAGAATGGAGCTTCTACTGGTGGAGATTTAAGTGTGCTTTGGAACTTAATGCCAGCCTCTATAAAAATCTGCACTCGACGAAGCTTCAGAAATCGAAGAGGCGCCTGCTCAGAAATCGAAGAGGCATTTGCTTTCTCAAAAGTTGGGCTGCTCAGAGACCACGAGGGTCGATCTTAGAAAATGAAGAGGCGTTTGCTCTCTCAAAAGCTGGGCTGCTCAAAGACCACGAAGGCCGATCTCAGAAATCGAAGAGGCGCTTACTTCCTCAAAAGCTGGGCTGCTCAGAGACCACGAGGGCGGATCTCAGAAATTGAAGAGGCACCACTTTTCAGCCTTGTCAGCACCTGTCACACGCACACTCAGCTTTGCGGAAATTACGAGCATTTTGTCGAAGATTTCTGGTGAAGTATAAAGCACATGAATCTTACTGTTCAATCACCCACTTTCCACACGCAACAATAGCTCATGGGTACCATAGATAACTTTGCCAAAGTTCTCTGACAAAGTTGAGACACGTGAAGCTTGCAGCTCCCACTACATCGCTCTGACCAAGAAGGGTAAAAGAATAGCAAAGAACCAGCACTAACAAAGTTTAGACACATAAATTTTAAAGGTCTAGCTTCCATATTATTACCCACAATGGTAAAGGAACAGTACCACTGCTGGATAATTGGAAAGTCCCTGTGTGTCAACCTCGGTGC